GCGGCACAGAATATGCCCCCAATTCACTTCAAACAACATACAATCAACCTGAATTACTACATGAAACATAGTTGGTGAATGTTTTTATCACGATTTCAAAATGAGCTCACGGAGATCCTCAAAACCCACAAAAACCCATAAATTTTGAAAAAGTTTAGGAACATATTGCAATTTATTCTTTACTTTACTTTACTTTACTTTTCTTTTTGTTTTATTTAAATTGGAGGGTAAAATGGTCAAAAATTGGGGAAGATGACGTTCTGCGCAAAAAATGTGAAAGGTAGGGACGTTCTGCGTCAAAAAAAGGAAAGGTATGGACGTTTTACACAAAACTTGTCAAATGTAGGAACATTTTGCGCTAATTACCCGATTGAAAATGATCCGTAGCAAATTATAAAATAAATTAAAGAACATCAAACAAACAATTAATATTGAAGAAGGTATTTTCCTTTCAAAACTATTTCGATAGGAAATAGAATTATAATTGAATTAGGATTGTTCCTCTCTATAATTCATTCCAGAAACATCACGGCAGTCCATCAAATTATGCACGTGGCTAGACAAATTTATTTTAAATTAAAAACCCTACTAAACCGTCATCGTGCTGATTTTTTGGACGGGATGTAAAAATGAGCAAAAGAAAACGTGGCGTAATGCCGACAGCAAGACGCGTTTGTCCTATACTTTTCTTTCTTTCCATCCACTTGTCCAATAAACCTACGGAGCATAGCCTCTCCTATAATTGATATTTTTTTTCTAGATCAACACGAGTGAACAAACTGATATTTTCCTCTTAAGATTGCTTTGCTGCTCTCTCCACCATACAAATATTTCAAATAATTTATTATTGTACTGAAGATAAAAAGGCATTCCACAGGCATTACCATTCTCAGTTTTCTTCCCTGCATCTACTTCTCCTTTGTATTTCCATTGGAGAGTCTGTCCAGTCTGCCCTTCAAAAAAGGTACCATTATGCATAGATCTTGATTTAATTGATTTTTAGTAATTGTACAATAGAGTGTAATTTTCACATGATATGCTGTTTTGGTGGTAGTAGTAATGAATCAAATGGAAATGATCAAAGAAAATTATGTATTTTACCCTCAATTTATTTATTATATATGTAAGGTTTAGTTTGTTGTTTGCACGGTGTGTTTCAAGAATTCCTGAAAAAGGGAATAATTTTCATCTTCTTCATGGAAAAGCAGGTTCATTAAAGATCAAATTTAACAGAAGAAATGTTGCTGAGAAGCTCATCTACTCCAGTTCTTGGATCCCTTCTCTCATCCTTTTCAGAAAGTCCTAGCAATAATCACTACCAATCTGAAGTGCCTAAAGACACACCAACTTCCATTCATCAAAAACTCTCTTGTGGATCTAAACATCACCCTAAATCTTTGAGGCATTCGTCTCCCTCGACCACCAGCCAATGTTCCCCGAGCGGATTTCGAAGAGTTCAATCCGACGGAAACTTGGAAGAATTGCCTAATGTCTCGTATAATGTTGAAGAGTTTAGTTTCTCCAACGGATCCAAGAAATTTGCGTGCAAACGTAATTGTTTTGGGTTGGAGCCAATCTTGTCTTTCTCGACTCACAACTTGGGAACTTGTCAAGAAGACGAAGACAGTGACGAGGAAGAAGACGAAGGGGAAGTAGAAAGTAATGAGGAAAACCAAATCAAGGTGCATCGCATGCATTTGAAAGAAGAGATGACAAGTGTGAATGAATATGATACTTTGAGGTTTGAAACGGAGAGGAAAATGTATCTTGCAACAGGGCTTGGGGCGGCTGATATTAGTTATTTAGATGGGGATGGACCCATTGGAGGAGGAAATGGCGGCAATGGTGGTGGTGGGAACTATAGTCCGGTACCCTTTGATAGGGATGGTGCCGACAGCCGTGGTGGACTCGGTATGGCAGAGCACTACAAGAGAATGCTGGGGGAAAGTCCAAACAATCCTTTGTTTTTGAGAAACTATGCTCAGTTCTTGTACCAAGTAAGTCCCTTATTAGAATATGCCTATGAAATATGCTCCAACGATGTTTTTGGTATATGGTAGACCGGACATGACATGGTCGTGCCAGGTAATCGTACCAAACATGCTATAAAATCTTAAAACATTTTTACGAGGTGGTCAACCAAATCTTACATAGTTTCTTGGTTTAAAGAACAATCAAAGACAAACATTGATTCACCGTTTTTGGCAGACAAAGGGAGACCTTGAAGGAGCGGAGGAGTATTATTCCAGGGCTATTTTGGCTGATCCAGAAGATGGTGAAATTCTCTCACAATATGCTAAATTGGTGTGGGAACTACACCGTGATGAAGATAGAGCGACAAGCTATTTTGAACGAGCAGTACAAGCATCTTCTCATGACAGGTTCGTCCATGTTCAATGCCTAGAACTGCCTTTTTGTATATATTTGGTATGTGAATGTACCATCAAGTGATATATAATCCATCTTAATAAACATGTACCATCGAATCACATTCTGACTTCTACAATACTGTGTCACCAGCCACATTCAAGCAGCATACGCCAGTTTCCTCTGGGAAATAGAAGATCAAGATCAAGATGAGGCATCCGAGGAACCCCGTATTGGGTCACCATCCTTCCACAGCCCAGCCATGGCTTCTGCAACTGCTTAGTTTAACTGCAAGACAATTGTTTCCAGCAGACAATCAAAATTTATGCAAGGGGAATAGGGATGATTAGGAGAGTTTGATGCATTTTCAGCTTTTAGGTGTTGCAGTATACACCATGTAATTTTTAGATCGTATAATTCAACATACTCATGACTAGGATATTCATTTATTTTCAATAATAAAAATGTATCAATCTGTTGAAGTTACCACGTGAAAAAAGAAAAAAAAAAGATCTGCTCTCAAAAACCAAATTATGGCTAGACAATTAATCCTCTGTTTCAATCATCTTTTTGTCATCAAGTACCACCTAAACCATGGAATCTCAGTGTTGTCCCTGCAGAAGTCTTTCCACCAAAACGACCTCTTCCCCTTCCTGGACAAGACCATTTCAGAGTTGTAATGTCTATAGAAAACAAAAATGTACGATAAATAAGGCTTCAATGTCACGAGTTAAATAGGCATATTGAAAATACAAGAAAATTCCCAGTATTGTTCCATTTCTTCAGTTCAAAAGAAAAAGAGAGAACTCGTCTATGATGCCTATGTTTCAATCTGCCTAGTGCCATGGCACTGATGTTAAGTTTCTTTTGTTAAGGTAGTCCTAGAATTTTTGCTTGAAATAAATATCAAAGGCAATTCTAAAATACTGGTAAACACAATTTTCTTCCAATGATTGCCCAGAAGGATATTACAAAAACAATAAGACGAATGCATTTCACATGAAACCCAGGAGATGGTGACCAAGATGAGTAGAGTGAGGGCATGTTTAATATGTAATATTATACGGAGAGAACAGTGGACAGTTCAATGGAAAAGATTTTGGCCTTTTCTCTTGGCATGGCAGAAGACGTGAAAATTAAGGCTTGAACCACCTACGTTTCTATCAGCAAAGAAAAGGAAGTTTATGGAGACATACTCCCTCCACGAGAAGCACTACTGTTATTTGGTCCTCTCTCAATGTAAAATGTCCTTCCAGCCAACTGAACAGGAGACGCCTAGAGAAGAAAAAACAAAATAAAACAACAAATAGTTACTAGATATTGACGATTGAAAAGATCGTGTGGAACATCCCAACAATAATTTACTACTAAAAGAAAAATAGGAGGCGCCTAGAAAAGAAAAAACAAAATAAAACAACAAATAATTACAGGATATTGACGATTGAGAAGATCACCCATAACATCCCAACAATAATTTTACAACTAAAAGAAAAGTTGAATGGGAATACTATGCTTAATTTTGCATAAAGAAAGACTCTGGTCCTAGATCTGAATTGCACGTTTGAGAAA